CCATTGCACTGGCATGCTGTCTGGCGCACTGGGCACTGGCTGGGGCGTTGCTGCCGCTGTGTGCGGCAGCGCGGCCACAGTCGGCTCCGTGCCGACCGTTCAGAAATATTATCCGACCAATCTGACTTATATTAACATGTTAAGACTTAAAATGAATACTAAACTGAATTTAACATAAAACGGCTGACTTTAACTCGATGGACCGAACCTCCGGCCGTGGCGCGCTCGCAATACGCGATGCCTACGGCCTCGGTCATCTCTCGGCCAAATAGCCACTTTACTCGACAACTTCAGGACCTGACTACATGATCAATCTACTGAAATGAATTAAGACTTAATCACACGAGAGAATCTGATCAATACTGAAACAGCAAGCCTCGGCCCTTGGCTACCCCAAAGCTATGCGCGATAGGCGCGGGGGCACCGGCTGGGGCCTTATCATCGGCAAAACCTCACTTCTACTCGACAACCCTCACTTGACTGAACATGATTAACTGAATTAAGGCTAAATAAACGATAAATGCTCATGGCTTATGCTCAGCTTATGAACTCATGCCTCATGGCCGTCCGTAGCCGCGTGCGATCGGCACTAGCTACGGCTTTGGCCAATTCACCGGCAATCCTCACTTTTCCATCGGCCAATTACACTTAACTGAACTTATTACTTTAAATATAAGCTGAAAGGAACATAATAACTCATGACTTGCCGGAAGAAACTAACACTTGTTCGGCGATCACTTTACTTAAGCATACATGGACTTAGGTGCGGTTTAAAGTGAAATTCTCGAATAAAGTCTGAACAATTCACTCTGAACCGAACCTATTACTAAGATTATGAACTGAACAGAGTAATACCTTTCTGAACGCTCGACGGAAATCGGAATTAACGCGCAGCTTCTTCTCGCCGTGCGGTACCAAGCTTATGCCGTGCGTTTGCCGTGAAACTTAGGGGAAATGATGGAGCGAAAGGGTTTGCTGTAGGCTGCTTAAGAGTTGCTGAAGCTATAGGGAAAAGATGATGAAATTTTCCCAAATGCCATCCTTTTATAGTTGCACGGCTGAGAGGGGAGAGGTGAGGTGGGCTTGATGTGGCTTAACATATGATCAAGACTTGTTTAATTCTCCCTTCACCTAGTAATGACTAAGCACACTAATCACTTGACAAGTTGCTGAATTTCATTGGTTGAAAACCATCCTTAAGGCTTAAGAAAAAGCCCACGGTACTTAGGAAATTTTTTTGGAAAATTCCCTTCTTTACTCACGGCTTAATTAGGGTTTGGGAGCTAATTATGTGATTAATCCCAATTAATCACTCAAATGATGTTTAATTGTTAAATTAAACATACTACTTAATTACCAAAATTATTTCGGACGTAAACGGTACGCCGAAAATAAATTTCGGTAATCCGACTGAACTTAATTAATTCCGAAAATAATAAACGATAACGTTACTATATCGGAATTAAACGTAATTTATACTGATAATATCTCGGGATATTACAAGGATGATCAGATCCGTGCAGGGCGAGGGGATCTGTGTCACGAGCATAGAGTCCTCGTCCTGCCAGCTCGCGATTTTGTTCGATATGATGCGCCATTCTTCAACCTGCTCTGGATACCATGTAGATTTGAGTGTAAGATAAAGAAAAATTGGAACAATCAAGAGAAAATTTACTGGAAATTCATATCGCCATTAATATCTGAGCTTCAAGCTCTTG